CTCTCCTTACCAAGTTCTAGCCACTTTTTCCTTAGAATATCTTTCACATCTACTCCTTTTCCCTTTTCAGTTCAACCCACTTCTATCACCCTCAAGTTCTTAATAATTTTTTACTACTATAAGACAATGTTAATTATACTTGCACTAAAAATCTTATTGGTCAAGGGTTTGGATCCCCACTCCAGGAGACGAGGAAAAAAAATCTTATTATAACAGTTAACATTTATTGAGTACTTACTATGCACCAGGAACTGTTCTAAGCGAGTTGCATTTATTAATTGACTTAATTGTCACATTATAGTAATTAGGTGGACTCTATCAATATTCCCATTTTAAAGATGAAGAAACTGTGGCAGGAGAGATTAAATAACTTCCCCGAGGTTACTGAGTGGAGGAGTTGGAAGTTGAACCCAGCCCACCCAATTTTGTCCAGACCTCACACTCTGTACCAAGCTTCTGTCTCTCTCTCACAAATATATACATAAAAATGATAGTTTGAGTGGTGGATGATGAGTGATTTTCATTATTTTCTTTTTATTTATCTACATTTTCCAATTTGTCTGCCAATAAAATGTTCCACTTTTGTAATTTTTAAAGTTTTTTTTAAAAAGCCAGATAATCATCAATCTGGTTTGGTTTTAGTATATTCTTACCTTGAGACAGGAGAATAGATAAAATAACTCCTTAAATGCCTTTAGATCCCAAGAATGTGTTAGTCAGTAGCCCCCTCTAATATCAGACAAAAAGAGCACATCTTCGTGCCTACAATTACATCATGATAAATGGAGTGTTTTAATTTTCTCTCTTCATCAAATAGGGAAGGGTGGCTCAAATATCCAACCTCACTCTATGGTTCCCAACGAAAAGATCATTTTAAATCTTATACTTCTGTGAAATATTTACTGAAAGCTTATGAGTCCTGCCTGAATGCTTTCTAGATCTAAACACTTCCCTGTGGAATACAAACTTCAAATAATGTGTTACAGCCAAATACAGGAGGAAACATAAAAACCAAGAAGACTATGATCATACAGTGAGGTAGTGTGCCAAAAGCTCTGGACTTTTCCCCACCTCCTCCAGGGGCTGATCGCAGGGAAGTCAGAACTAAGAAAAGGGCTCACTCTGCTCCTTAAAGCTGTTCTTTCTGCATTTGCGCTAGCGAGTACTCCTACCATTCTCCCACTTTAAAAGCCTGACAAAAATCCTCAGTTTGCCCCTCGCTGTCACCGTACACCTTCAACCAGTTGCCAAATCCTCTAACCTCTACCTTCGGGTATTTTTCATATATACGCCTCTCCCTTTATCCCACTGCCACCATCCCAGTACAGTCTCTTTGTTAACCTCCTCCTGAACCTCAGTAAATCTTCTGAACTGGTCTCCTCACCCCATCCCTCTGCTCTTGCCTTTTGGCCTACCTCCACCATGTTTACTTTATATTCATGCTGATCCACTCTTAGCAGGCAGCTATCTCTGCCAGAAATCCTTCAGGGGTTCGCCACTCAGTTTCTAACTTTCCAGTCTTATCATCCATTGTACCCCACACCTACTCCCCATTTCAGCCAGCTGCTCTACTCGCCACTCCCAGAAGCATTTGCATTTCCCACCTGGGACGCTTCCCCCAGGCTCCTCCCTCTATCTAGAAAGCACCCTTCCTCCATCTCTGCCCATTGAAACTCTACTGATTATTACAGAAGCCGGTCAAACCAACTGTTCAAATAAGTTTTCTTCCCTCTTTTCCTATCAATCTCTATATTGCCACTCCTGCGTTGTTTACCACATGGTAACCCTATGTCATCTTTTATATGTCATAACTTGCGTACTTAACTTTTCTGCCTACCAACATTTCTTAAGCAACTATGAATATGTCAAGGGTATGTACTAAGCACTTTACATGTGTTATCTAATTTAATTTAACCCTCACAACAATCCTGTGAGATAGGTATTACCAACCTCACTTTACAGATCAGGAATCTGAGGCTGTCAGAAGCTAATTAACTTGCTTCAAGTAGCATCCTTACTAAATGGCACAGTCATCACTCATTCAACAAATTTTATTCCAATTTATGTCTGCTGGATTCCTCAGCCCCTTTGGCTTTTCAATATAGATTGGAATGTCCCTTTAGGGGCAATTAGCACTAAAGCCTCAGGACAAGGCAGATTGTGTTAAAAGCAGTTTTCTACTCCTCTCTCATTTAATTTAGATTCATTGTGCTGTGGGAAATGCTCCTTTGGCTCTCAGTCAGCACATAGCCTGGGCTAGCACAGGGCTAAAGAAATGATTCATGAAGACAAACATCATACAGGATGTTTAGCTCCACTGGTGATCCTGATTATTGTAAAACTGTAAAAGGAACGCCAAGCCCCGGTACACATCCAGCAGTCTAGAACTCCCAGCTCTCTGCCACCTCAGTTCAGGTGACAAGCTAAAGCTCTCTTTCCCAATTAGATCCAGAGAGATGCCTCAGCTTTCACAAACAAGGCTGCAACAGCACTGTTGTCATTAGGGTCAGCGTTGGCCTGATAGACTGTCCCTGCCGTTAATACCCAATGTAGGATCACAAAAAATTCATAGAAAGATTAAGCACAGAAAAGAGCTAGTTTACTTTGAATTGGCTTTTCACCATTGGGGTGTCGAAGCCCCCAAATTTGTTGGATCAGTTCATATTGACAAAAGAAGAATATTACAATAATGGGTTTATTCTCTTCCTTATTGTTTTGGAGTTGAGGGTGTTCAGTAGCCACTGTTTGCTCAAGGAGCGTGTAAACAGGACTTGCTGACGCCTGTGGCCAATGAGCACGCCTCCTAAGTCATTTCAACTTGGCACGGAGTGTAGGTCTAATGGTAAAAAGCTAACAGGGAAGAGAGTTAGGTAACTACATTTTGTGTTTTATATGTGTTTTCTCTTTTAATCCTCAAAGCAATCCTTTCTGAGGTAGGGGTGATTCTAATACCCATTCCACAGATCCAAAAACTGTACGGTAAGTAATAGGACTGGAACTCCACAGCTTTCCACCACCCTGAGCTCATGCTTTGCAGCAAGGCCTTTTGCTTAGGCAAATATTGGCCATTTAAATATAACTAAAGGCAAAATTTGTACACATTAGAGTTCTCAAGTATCAATATTCTTCCCTCCCCAAATCAAGGTGATATGAAGTGTTTAATTTCTTAAATGTCTTATATTTTCCATAGTTGACAAAGATCTCAGTAAGAATTGGTAGTTGAAAAAAGAAAAAGAAATAAATTAAATAATTATAATAATAAAATAAAGAATTGGTAGTTGAACTGCAAGATTCTCACCTTCTGCTCAGGAGACTCCCATGTTTGATTCTTAAGCAAGTGGGCTTGCTTGGACTCATTATTTTGGTTGGTTAGAACATAGGCCACGAAAGCCAGTGAGCCATAGTCACTGACAAAATCATCCTGTTCCCAGCCATCTTTAAAACAGGCTTCATGAAGAGGCTGGGTGGAAATGTAGACAGCCCGGGACAGGTTGTCACTGGGACTAATAAAAGGTATCAAAAGTCCCAATGATTGGGCCGGCCCGTGGCTCACTCGGGAGAGTGTGGTGCTGATAACACCAAGGCCACGGGTTCGGATCCCATAAAGGGATGGCCGATTCGCTCACTGGCTGAGCGTGGTGCTGACAACACCAAGTCAAGGGTTAAGATCCCCTTACCGATCATCTTTAAAAAAAAAGTCCCAATGATTGAGGTTACTTATACTATATCCACGAATCTTCAAAGTGAAACCTCTTTATTTACACATAAATCTCCCCCCACTTCTTCATGATCTGCTACGTTTTAGACAGTCTAATGCTTAGACACCTTCACAATAATATATCTCCATATGAGATGGGTTGTTGTTGCTAATCAGTTAAAACTGACAACTTATAAAAAAATATTTTAACCTCCCAAAACCTTAGCAAAGTATGTCCTTTGGGATTACTTTTACAGTGCTAGGCTCTTGACATATTATGAAATCTTTTACATCTTCACAGAGATAACAGGACTTTTATTTTGCCTTCCCCAATGTAGTTTTTGTAAATATTTTGTTGTTGCCTCTGCCATATGGTTTTTAAAAAGTTACTCAGCACAACCAAATATTATTTCAATAATGTAGAAACTACTGAATTTTGTTACTTAATACCTTTTTGTATCCCTTCAAAAAGAATTTTCAAAAGGCATTTTTGGTTGGAAGACATTCATTAACTATTGTTTGAATTATGTTGCCAACCTTTTAGAAACACCTTGAAAAACACCTATGACATATGTTAGCAGAAGTGCAGGGAAGGAGAGTAAAGATTGACAGAAAACGAGCACTTAAAGAACTCAAAATCTGGACAAAGGTGGGTCATGTGCTGCCAGGTACACTAAACAACGTGTGCTGGGGGGAGGTGAAGCTATAATGAGGATCCACATTCAGCAGCCTGCAAAATGTAAGTGACGTTTAATACCGAGGAAAGAGAGAGCTGATGGGATCCTACGGTCCCAATAGCACTTCTCCCACCTTCACACTCTGCTTTCGGAAACCATGATAAAATCACAAGGATTCCTACTTTATTCCTCTACTTTTTGCCAGCCTTCCTAACTCTTGTCTTATCCACTACTCTCCTTCCTTCTTTCTATTTTGCCTCTCTGTACATAATCTTTGTTGCCAACCACTTTAAGGTAACTTCACCCCAGCTGGAAAACAACTCATGTCTTCTTGCTCCCTTGTCTGAGTCCAGGGACCCAGGTCAGTCTTCTTCTAGGAGCTGGGACCCTTCTCGCTGAGCTCAGCGCCCCAAGCTGCGAGGACGGTCTATGCCGCGAGCCCTCCAGTTGGTTGGCCTCCCCATGACGCCAGTCGGCTCCTCTTCCCTCCCCCCACAAGCCTCATCCCCAGAGAAACCTAAACTCCGTAGCCTCTGACACTGTCTGTGCCTGGGTCCCAAAGGTCTCCGCCTGGGATCCAAGATTCTTCTGCCCAAAGCAAGGTCGGGTCAGGGGGTGGACAGTACCTCCTTGCAAGCGTGAAGCTCCGGTCCTGTTCCCTGGGTCACCTGGAAGGCGGTCCCAGCCCAGAGCAGCAGCCGCAGAAGCTGGGGTGTGCACCTCTCAGTTCTTCCCTTGCCTCTGGCAGAGGGATGATGGCTGTGCTCAGGCTCAGCCATAGCGTTGTCCCGAGCGAGCTGCAGTAGCGGCTCAGGTACGGTGGCTGCTGCTTCAGCGGGCAGAAGGCGGAAAAAAAGGGGAGGGAGATAAACAGGGGGAGGATGCGAGGGGCTGGGCTCGCTTCGGTCACCTCCCTGCGGCTACGCCAAGGCCGCCCATCCTTCCTCCCTCCGTCCTCTTCTCCTCCTCCTACCCAAGTCGCCTTGACAACCGTCTCCTCTTTCCCTCTGCGTGGGTGGGGCAGGGACCACGCGAGCCTCTGCCGCTCACCTGCCGGTCGCCATGGCAGCCGCCGCCGCTGGCGCGCACGGCGTGAGACTGCTCGCGCCCGGGTCGTGCAACCGGCCCAACAGGCGGGCACGAGGCTCGTGCGAAGAACGCGGTGGAAACATCCTCCGAGCCATCGCCAACAAATTCATGTTTGCGACTGCTCTTTCGGGCCAGGAGCTATTTATGAGCATCTCTAATTCTGCAAACGTGGCGTGTGAACCTATAGAAGATTGAGACGTCGTCTCTTCTCTCCAGAAGTCATCGCCCAGAAGAGAGGCCCCAATACACACGCATTACCTATTGCAAAAGTCGCCTCTGGAGCTCTTACTTCCATCCCGCCAAATTCATCTGTGCTTTTATAACCGGCCCTATAAGCAACCCTGGACTCGAATAGTTAAATCGAGTTTAAGTAAAGAGAGTTTGCGTTAGCTGGCAATTTTCCAAGCACAACACGTGGGCTCTTCGGTCTCTTGACATCCCTATTCTCTCATTGCTTTGAAAATAGGAAAGCCTTTTGTGAGGTGCGAGAGAGAAGGAACTTTTGGGGTCATCTTTTAGAACTTCTTTCCTCAACTGAAATCTTTTGCAGGAGTCCTATACAATAAGAGGCCGGAGTTTTTCAACTGAGGATCAGAAGTGCAAATCCAGGGCTCCCTGCCACTCCCGGCGGCGCTTTCCCTTGGCGCTCCCGTAGCTTCCTCCCGAGGGACCTCCTTGTTGAACCGCCAGGTGGCGCCCTTCTCGAAGGGACTTCATCTCAGTCATAAATGGCCGGGCAGTTGCCTGACAACCGAAACTAGGCGTTCCAAACAATTAGGATCTTAGCAAGGTTGTGCTGCGGCTGTTCTGACCTCCCATCCCTCTTAAGAGCATCGCGCTCGGCATTTAACCATGCCTCCCACCCGGGACCCTTTCCAGCACCCTACGTTAGATAACGATGATTCCTACTTAGGAAAACTGCGGGCTTCCAAGGTATTGTTTCTGACGCAGATTCCTGGTAGGTCGCCAGCAGTCGTTCTGTCGATGTGACAGGCCGAGACGGTAACATAAAGGACTCTGGTAGGGACACTGAGTCGGGTACCAGAGAAGTGTGTTTCTGCCTGCGTCCCTGTCCCATATTCAGGTCTGCTAACGTTTCAGAGGTGCTTTTGAGCAGAGGGAAATACACAGCTCTAGTCTAGAGGAATAAGGGGCTCTCTCAGCCCAAAACACTGATTAGTATAAGTAATGGGAGGACCCAGGTTCCATCAAACTACCCTTTTCTCTAGTTGGAAAACTGTTCTCTGAAGAGAAATGAGACGTAGAGTGAGAGAGAATCCTCTGAAATTCACCAGCTCGTGCTTTATACATGTTTTCACAATGTGTCTGTCTTCTGGTTAATGCCACGATGTGTTTGTGTATGTGTGGGTTTAGCATGATTGTTGTCAGTGATTTGGGAATTAGACAATCTATTTTCTGGTAGAAGTGTTTGGGATATTTGAAGTGGTGCAAAATAAGGTGAAGTAAATGGTGATTGTGGCTTAATAACATCAAATAGCTTCTTTTTATTTATTCAATATTTATTATTTATTATACACTAGTACTCTCCTAGACACTGAGGATATATAGATAAATTAGATATAGCTCCTGTTCTCAAGGAACTCTAGTTGAAAAAACAGACCAACAACAGCAACAGCAAAAATGCTTGCACTACAGCACATGTGTTGTGATAGAATTATATGTAGGGTAGCGTGAGAACCAAGAACTTAAAGGAAAGTTTCACAGAGCAGGTGAGTTTTGACATCCAAATATGTGTTAGCTGGGCCAGGTCAGAGAAAGGGTGAAATGTAAGTTAGGAGGAAGGAAACAGGAACCAGACACTCAAGGCAAAGGAAGCAGCAGGTGCATGGAAAGGAGAGATAGAATGGCCAGTTTCGGGAACTGCAAACAGTCCCTAAGGGCTGAAGTATAAGTGTGACATGGAGTGCTTGGGGGTGAAGTGGCTTTGGTGGACTGGGTGTGCTGTGTATAGCATGCCAATAAGTGAGGATTTCATCCTGGGGTGTGGGGAATAATGGCGGGATTTTAAGCACTAGAGTGACACGATCAATCAGATGGGTGTTTTAAAAAGCACAAGTGACAGTGGATTGGACAGGATGGGAGTGAGACAAGGGATCAGCTAGGAGGCAGGTGCAGCAATCTCCAGGGGGAAGAATTATGGATCTACAGCAGTGACACATGTGATGGTGATAAGGTGCAGATGTGAGAAAGATGCAAAGGGCAGGACTGGTGGCACTCGGTGGCTGACTTGGTATGGGCCTGAGAGGGGACAAGCTTAGACAAGGCTTTGGGGCCTCCTCCTCCCAGTTATAATATTGTGCAATCTTCATGAACCACTTCTTCCCTTTTGTAGGCCTCAGCTACCTCTTCATGTGGACAACCTCCAGATCATCCCAGATATTAATTGTTCTGAGCTCTCCTCTAACAAGTGCACACTTCTGATTTTCTACCTGTTAATTGCATAGGAAGTCTCACCTTTTCTTCAAACTCAGGACATCTGCACCTGAGCTCTTCTTTCCTATCTGCTCCCCACCCTTCACCCTCCTTGTCCCACTCCACCCCTTTCCCTGTATTCCTGGCCTTTTTCTGTCAGTGCTAAGAAAACTTAAGAGAATCAAAAACCTGGGGAGTTTTGCCCCATATCTTTCTTCTTTGCAGATGTCCCTCTAAGATTCAAATAGAATGGAATAAGGGGATGGATGTCATTGAAGCTAACACATTGGCAAGTCCTCCTGTAACCAGGTCCTGGATGTGCTTTCTCTTTTGCAGAAATTGCCATATAAGAACCCAAATCACCTTGCTCAGCAACAGGAACCTTGGAATCGGCTCAGCTCAACAGCCACAATCACTTCCATGAGGCGAGATGCCAATTTTTTTGATACCGAGGTACCTAGCATTGACATTCTCTTACTCTTTATATCCATTTAGGGCTCATTAATATTCTTTTTGAAAGGTAGTCTGTCCCTAACTACTTCAGCATCTTTCCTTTTGTCCTCAATCCAAGATTCTTCTAAACCCAAACCAATTTATCTGGCCTCTGGGAAGTCAGAAGGCTTTGGTTTTGCTCCAGGCAGTTATCTGAAGCAAACCATTTTACCAGATATCTCATTCTTTTGATTAAAACAAGGACTAAATATAACCATGAATTAGGTAAAGTTCATTAAGCTCAAGTCAGGGACAGTATCCCATGTCTCCAGTAAGAGCTCACCAGTCCTTATACCTAACCATAAGGGAAGCAATTCCATATTGATGAGTTAAGAAGTTATCATGTACAACAATTTAGTGTGTAAGAAGTTGGTGAATTTCAGACCCAATAGGTGAATCATTATACTTCTGAGGAAGAGTAAAGCCTAACAGAACCTGACTAGAGTGGACATACGTAGCCGAGTTAACCCTGGAGGGATTGACTACCCCTGTAGGTACCGAAGGATGACCTGGATTTTCGCTTAGCAGTTTTGTACAACCACCACACTGGGGCATTCAAGAACAAATGTGAAATACTGTTACACCAGGAGACGATCCAGGATACCCATGGGTAAGTGGTAGAAGCAGAGCTTCTCCACCTTAAGGATGCTGCCATTCATCACATAAGGTAAAGTGGTCACCTGGGAAATAACAATCAACAGGTACTCATTTATATACACATTTCTGCATTTTTACATCTGTATCTGTGATGTAATCTCTGTATTTTTATTGCTTAAAATGAACAGAAATCCTCCACCATTGTGCTTATCTATATAAACAAAGAACATCTTTGGTTTATTTCACAGAGGGTAAAAAAAAAAAAGGCCTTTGTCTGCTGTTATTAGTCCATTTGTGTTGCTTATAATAGAATACCTGAAACTGGGTAATTTATAAAGAAACACAATTTCTTACAGTTTGGAAGCTAGGAAGTCCAAAGTCCAGAGAACACATCTGGAGAGGGCCTTACTCTGGGTGGGAACTCTCTACAGGGTCCCATTGCAACTCAGGGTATCACACAGCAAGAAAAGGCAAAAGAAAGACCTAACCTTCGCACTCACTGTCCTTATAAAGCCAGCAGAGCCATGCCCATGACAACCCATTAAACCATCGACCCATTCCTCCATGAATGGATCAATCCATTCGCAAGGGCACAGTCCTCAAGATCCAATCACCTCTTAAAGGCTCCATGTTCCACCACCATATTGGGGGTTAAGTGCCAACATGCTGGAAGGTTTCTTTAAATTACAAATTCAATTTCTTTCTTTTTTTTGGCTGGCTGGTACTGGGATCTGAACCCTTAGACCTCGGTGTTATCAGTCCCATACTCTACCAAGTGAGCTAACTGGCCAGCCCTAAGTTTCAACATGAGTTTGGGGGACATTCAAACCACAGTAGCAGCTTTATTTTTGAGGTCACATGCAACTATCTTTCCCTCCTCACCTTTCTCTTTCTGATTTCTCTCTCCCCTGTTCTTCCCCACACCATCTTCTAGAATCAAGATCCAATTCCCTGGAGAATTTTTACCACCTACTCCTCCATTCCCCATCACTTCCCAGGCTAAAATCAGATACTGGATCAGCCCTAAGAAGGAGTCCATCCACAGCATCCAGGGATCCACAGGTAAGGGTTACAAGACTGGGTGGGCAGATGGGGGTGGTGCAGAAGTCTTTCTAAATGAACCCTGGCTGGTAGGGAAGATCAGGGATCATGGAGGGTCTCGGAAAGC